AGGAAGGAGAGTTCACTTTGGAGATTCTTATTATAGGGGACATAAAAGTTTCCCCCGATCCTCTTAGAGTCCCTGGCTGGGTCTGAAAATTAAACTAAGATTAACAGGAGAAAAGTGCACAACTTTCATTGCATTTTTACATGGACACAAGAGCCTTTGCAAGAGAATGAAGACCCAAAGAATTGGCTACTGCAGGCAGTTTTTATACCTTTGAGACAAAGAAACAATAAATTTGAATAAACAAACGGGTTTGGGCAAGTGGTAGTAAATGGTGAAGAAATAACTAGGAAGAGAAGGGTTAGTTTGACAAGGTTTATTTGTTGACACCAAATTCCTCAAAGGCTCTTGTGATAAGAATCTTTGCTCCTTCTTATTCAGAGAGAGTACCTTTCACATGGAATTTTTAGAATTTGTTTCAGATCAGAAGGGTGAGGGGGTGAAAGGTCAGAGTGGCCTGCTTCTACCGTTTCTTAAAATTCCTCTAACTAATTTAATAAGCCAAGCCATGGTCTTGGGTAGTGTCCTGAATCCCATCATTATCTTCAGGTATCCATTAGTGAGTAATTCCTCCATTCTTTTCCCAGCTGGGGAAAGGCAAAATAACAGGTGGAGAATACTTAGCAGTCTTATCTGATTGTTTCATCTCTCTCCTCAGCTCCCATATTGTCCCTTCAGAAGCCAGCTAGGCCTTTGTCCCATTGACTCTGCTAGGAAGTCCTTCATCCCTTACAGTGACAATTCTTTGACAAGTGAACCATCTTCAGGTCTTTTTTTTTCCCATCACTTATTTGGCTTTACCATGAATATATTTCCAGATTTTTTCCATATTTAAAATTTAAATGGTGAATGGAGACAGGGGATATCTCTCTGAACATTTTCTAGGTAGACACTCACTGCCAACATTTTTTTTTTTCTATTGCAACGATTCCATGTTAGCACAGGAATTCCACAATGATAAAAACTTCTCATAGTCCCAAACACAAATATCACATCTATCCACAGATTCTCACATCTAGAAGTTTCTATCCTCCCCACTGGGAGGGTAGCTGAAATAGAGATTGACAAGGAAGAGAACACCACAGTAGTGGTTAAATTTTGTTTCCCTTTCTCAATCTTCCCTAAACCTCTCCCCTGAGCCTAGAAATCATTCTTGCCTTTTTTTTTTTAATGTGGAAGTAAGTATATGATGTGTATGGTGCCTACATTCTTCATTCAATACTCTTCATTCTTTTGTTTATGCTATAAATAGGGGATCTGAGGCTTCCAAATTTTGCTTTTGATACTTAAAACCAACTTGAAAAAATTTTTAAGTTCGAAAACTCAATATGGAAACTTTGTTGCCCCCAGGTGCAGGCTAGTTAAATCAAAAGCCATATAGAATTCATGTAATTGCAGTTTAAAGACAGATACTCTCCACTGTAGTGAATATCACCAATTTATAGAATAATGGTAAGGTAAGACTATTAATAACATAATTATCTTCATAATCCTCTCATTTATATACTTTCTGTCTTATGTTCTTATAATAACCCTGTAAGTTATATTGAGTAGAATTAACATGTTGAATAACACGGAATTGCCCCCTTTTATACACGAGAAAGCTAAGGTGCCACATTTTACACATAATTTAAGTGATGATTCAGTTTTAATCTGACACTAACTGATAGGGCTAAAATCTAGCCTAGAGCTTCCTCGCCTTTCCTATACCATATCTTTTTTCATATAATACCTGAAATATATATGTATAATCATTTAAGTAACTTTCAAAATATTGGGAAAAGAGCAAACAATACTCTGAAATGAAACAATTGCATGTTTCTAGATTTCAAACCATTAGACTAACACAGATTTATATTGAAAAGAAAGATTGAAATCTCCTCTAATAACTTTTTCATCACAGGACACAATTTATGGCTTTCTGCCATTTGATGATGAAAGTTAAGTTTTCTGTGCTATTACTGGAATTGGGTACAATAACTCATTCTCCAAAACCAATTTATACAGAAAACATATTCAATACAGAGATGATTGAGTTCCTGTATTTCTCTTTTGTCATTTGGCAGCAATCTGTGTGAGACTCAAGAAGAGAGAGTGAAAACTGATGGTAGTTATTTCTTCAAGATAGGTAGAAAAAGCCAATGGTACTGAAAGCATGTGTCAGTTAAAATCATTCATTTTAGATTAAACTCACAGTCTGCAGTGACAGAAATCCCAAAGAAGATATCTATCTTTAAGGATTAATAGAGTTTTATCCTAGGATTATTCTTGGTCAAAAAACATGGCTACAAGTTGTGTTGTTGTTGTTGTTGTTGTTTTTCCTTTTTCTTTAGTAGCTCATTTGACAGCCATTGTGGCCATAGACAGCAGTAGATATTTGAATCTATTTTTTCCGAGGTATGTGAATGTTGGATTGAGTCTTTGGTGACTTTACAATTCATTTTGAAGGCACAATGGACTTTGTAATCTCTGTTCTTCAACACTCAATAAATCTGCTAGTTGCCTCTATCATTGAAAATAAAAGTTTTGTGAAGGTAGTAATTATAAGGTGGCTGGCAACTCCATTTGTAAAACTGGCAATTTCAATTTCTGATCCCGTAGTATCTTTTAAAACCTCTGAAGTTGAGGCCACGAAGTCATGGTTTTTTTTTTTTTTCTCTTTATTTCAAACATTCTGGAGTACTTCTTCAGTAATGGTCATTATGATAACCTCCCCCAGCAATCTCTAAACATTCTTTATCATGAAGCAACTGTGTGGGTTGGATGGGATTGGGTGGACCCTGAGAGCTCCACATCCTTTGGGTTAATCCCACATTCTTTACTATAACCATTGTCACAGCAACTCACACAGCAAATGTCTGGCAATCTAAGACAGATTCAGTTAATGTATAGCATTTTCTTGGCCACTGAAATTAGTTGAAGATTAGCCCAATCATCAAGAAAGTTGGTAATAATAAATTAAATTCTGGAGCTGGATGCCCATCTTCTCCTAACGATGTGTTTTATCAATGTGCCATCAGTCTGCCACCCTGAAGGATGCCAATTTAAAGATACAGATAAAACACATTTAGGCCAAAGACTTGATAAATCGTATCTAGGTATGTTATTTCTCTGAAAATTTGAAGTGATCTGAATAAATCCCTTTATAATTTAAATCAATTCAAAATAGATTTTACATAACAAGTTAAATGGTCATAACTGCATCTCTTCTGATATCTTAAGTCTAACAAATATTTCTGTAGCTGGAAGTATTGTGCCTCATGATTTTTACAGTTTAGTTACATTATCTTAAATTATTTGGTAAACAATTAAAGAGAAAATAATTTTCCATTAATTTGCTTAAAAGGTTGAAAGCAAATGATGCTGTTTGTTAAGTCACATACTTGGCTAATTAAGTTCTTTGTCTTCTTTTTCTGTAATCAAAGAATGCTAAGATGAGAATAGGATGACAATGATCCTTTAATTGAACAATACATCTGAAGCTTGAGTTCTGTTCCAGTTGGTCATTAGTCAATCCTGTATCACTTCCAGTGACAGCAAACTCATACCTCCTGAGGTAGCTTCTCTCTTTATTCAAAATTTGTTGGTGACCTCCATTTCCACTCATATTGAAATGCTACTAGTTCACTGAAAATACTACAAATTTTAACAGTATTTATTTTCCTTTCTCTTTAGATAATACTTTATCACTTCAGGCAAAACATTCATTGCTAGATGCCTTTGAAATTTCTGCTGTCTTTATTCAAAGATATCACTTCAATTTTCTTTTTAGCCAATTCACTTTGGGCTACTGTGTTTTTTCTAATTTAGTCCATTATGATTGCAGAGATTAGAAAAGGAACCGTGATTCTCATGTCTTTTCTAAAATCCTATTATCCTGTTCAGAGATGACTAAGATTTCTGGTAGTATAAGTTGATATAATTCATCAATTTTGGAAAATTCTTGATCTTTATCTCTTTAAATATTCTTTATTCCCCAGTCTCCCTCTGCCCCTTTTCTGATATTCCATTTATAAACAAATTGGGAATTGTTACAAATATCTTTTGTTTCAAATATTTTTCTTTTTGTTTTAGTGTGGATGTAGTCTATCAACTTGTCTTTAAGTTCACTTCTCCTTTTCTGCTATTTCCATGCTCCTGCTAAGACTCTTTAGTGAATTTTGCATTTCTGATAATGTCTTCACTCTAATATTTCCATTTTTTTTTTCTACAGCAGATTCCTCTTCCTCTTGCCATTCTACCAGAGGTAAAAGTAATTGTGTAATTTTCTCCCATTAAGTATATTTTTGGAGTTTAGTTCTTTATGTGTTTCTTTGTGTACTCAGATCTCTGAGGGTTTATAAAACTAGATTCTGTAAGTTATCTGGATTGTTTTGGTTGTTAAGATAAGTCCCTTGCCACTTTCTAAAGCTGAACTAAAACCAAAATTGCCATAAGGTTTTAATTTTAAAATCATATAATTGTGATCTCCATTGACATGATTTCAACGATATGAATTCATGACTCAAAATATGAATGATTTTAATTCAGCCAATAATTAGATCACTGGTCTTGTAGATGGAACAGTGTATCAAGAGTCTAGAGACCTGTGCCTTGAAACTCACATTGTCACTCATCATTACCTGAGTGGCTTGTGCGATTACATTTAAACGTATAGTTTCTCCATGTGTAAATATATTAGAGTGGTTACTGCTAGAAAGTGAAAGTAAGAATAGCATTCACATAAGAAATATGAAAGACCTCATGTTTATTTCCTTGAAAAAATAAGAAGGAGGAAGATGAGACAACTATGACATAATGTTCACAATGACTATTTCTAGAAAGTCAATAATACCATTTTAGCATTTGTAATTTTCCATGTTTCTTGTAAATTTTTCAAAATTAAAAAATGTAATAGTAATACTAATACATCACTCCTACCAGTGTAGCAACAAATTATATAAAGGGAAAATGTACTGATTGCAGATCAGCCAGGATAAGGGGTATGATGAAGCAAAATTTACAAAAATCATAAGGAAATTATTCATGGTCTGGTGTTTGACTGGCTTGTCTGATGTGAAAGTTGGAAGATCCAGTTGTGAAAGTCCTGGAAAAATAAGAGAAAAAGATTCCTTTTTTTTAATTACGAAGGCTTTGTAGAATCCCAAGGATCTCCGCCCAAGTATGCAAATAAGCCCAGCGTCCTGTGTTATTTGTCATTCTCCAAAGTACTTATAAATATAATTTTTTAAAATATTCCACTTGTGAGTTATATCATGTAGTATTTGTCTTTCTCTCTTTGGCTTACTTCACTTAACATAATGTCCTGTGTTTCATCCATGTTGCCACAAACGGCAGGATTTCTTTCTTTCTCATGGTGGAATACCATCCCAATATTCTTGTTCCATTCACCCATTGACAGACATTTATATTTCATCTGTATCTTGGCTATTTGTAAAGAAAGCTGCAATGAACCTATAGGTGTCGATATCTTTTTACGATACTGATTTTGTGTCCTACAGATATATACCCCAAAGTGGGAATGCAGAATCATATGGTGGTTCTATTTTTATTTTTTTGAGGAGCCTCCATACTGTTTCCCATAGCGGTTGCACCAAATTACATTTCCACCAACAGTACACAAGGGGTCCCTTTTCTCCACATCACCACCAACACTTGTTACTTCTTCTGTTTTTGGTAAGTGCCATCCTAACAGGTTGAGACAATATCTCATTGTGGTTCACAGTAGAATGGTGATCACCAGGAGCTGGTGGGTGGACTAAGTAGAAGACTCTCTTCAAATGGTGCAAGCTTTCGGTTATAAGATGAATAAGTTCTGGGGATCTGATGAACAGCATGATGACTGTAGTTAATAACACTGAATTGTATACTTGAAATTTGCTAAAAAAGTTGACCTTAAGCATTCTCACTGCACACACACAAAATAGATAACTATGTGAGGTGATGTGTATGTTAATTAACCTGGTTGTGGCAATTATTTCACAAAGTATATATGTATCGAATCATTACATTGTACACTTCAAATGTATGCAATTTTTCTGTCCATTATACCCCGATAAGAAAAAAAAACCTGTAAGAAATGTAAGCAATGTAGCAAAAATATACAGTCCAGGAAAATAGCAGATTGAGTTGTTTATTTAGCAATCACACAGAAACACAGAACAGTAGGACCTGAAATGATTTATAGAGTTCTGGCTCATCACATTTATTTTTAAAATGCTTTTTAATGTTTATTTATTTTTGAGAGAGAGAGAGAGAAACAGAGCACGAGTGGTGAGGGGCAGAGAGAGAGGGAGACACAGAATTCGAAGCAGGTTCCAAGCTCTGAGCTATCAGCACAGAGCCCAATGCAGGCTTTGAACTCACAAGCTGTGAGATCATGACCTGAGCCAAAGTCAGATGCCCAACTGAGCCACCCAAGTGTCCCTCATCACATTCATTTAAAAATTTTTTTTTCAACATTTATTTATTTTTGGGACAGAGAGAGACAGAGCATGAATGGGGGAGGGGCAGAGAGAGAGGGAGACACAGAATCAGAAACAGGCTCCAGGCTCTGAGCCATCAGCCCAGAGCCTGACGCGGGGCTCGAACTCACGGACCGTGAGATCGTGACCTGGCTGAAGTCGGACGCTTAACCGACTGCGCCACCCAGGCGCCCCTCATCACATTCATTTTAAACAAGAAACTAAGATTTAGAAAGCTAACATACACTAGAGGTTATTAAAATTAGAAGCTCTGTAAATCTGTTCTTTAAGTCTATTAATATCTCTACCATTCCACTGACTTCTAGACAAGTTCCACTAGAAATTTCAAGGAGAGCTTTAATACTTGTCTCTCTCTCTCACTCTTGACCTAGTTAGAGTCAGCAACCAAACTTTATTAGTTCCTCATCTCAAAACCCAAGTGTTTCAACTTTAAGATATATTTATATGTTTAAATTGTCAAAATATGAGAAACTAGAAAAATACATACAACTAGCTATGTGAATTATGAGACCAAAGTCACCAGTTTTTCTGCTATAATAATCATAATTTATTAATCAATGTAAAAAATAAAAACTCACCATTACAACATCCACAAATCTGGGTTCATTCCTACTAAGCATTTTAAACATTTCATCTCTATGCTTCAAAATGTCTTTTACTTTTGTCCTTTCTTAAGTAGTCTTCTTGTCACTAGCCCTTCAATGTGTACAATTTCTATCCCATTTTCTTGCTCTATCCAGACTTACTGACCTCAGACAGATTAGGTCCTGTTACTTCATTTTTCAAAGATTTCCAAAGGTATTCACCTTCCAAATATCTACACCTACACACATGTCCACACACACTCTAAAATATTCCAACATGTCATGTAAGAATTTCCATGGGATAAAATTTGGAATCAGCAACTTTTTTTTTTTTTTTAATCAGAGATAGAGTAGGAACTTAAAAAGGAAAACAAAACAAATTGAAAAGTTCCTTAGCTTAAGACTAGAATTCTAGGGGCGCCTGGGTGGCTCAGTCGGTTAAGCGTCCGACTTCAGCTCAGGTCATGATTTCGTGGTTTGTGAGTTCGAGCCCTGCGTTGGGCTCTGTGCTGATAGCTCAGAGCCTGGAGCCTGCTTCAGATTCTGTGTCTCTCCATCTCTCGGCCCTTCCCGGGTTCATGCTCTGTGTGTCTCTATCAATAATAAATAAACATTAAAAAAAAGACTAGAATTCTAATTTGGGATGTACTTGGACCAGGAAAAGGATATTATGACGGGCATTAAGTTCCACAAAGCAGTGACTAGAATAGAAGGGTAAGCCTAGCACTACAGCCTAGATCTAACATATCAAGGAACACATGCTCCTTAGATCCATGTTTCACAGTGTATCTAAAATCCTCACCCTACTGCACTTAAAAAACACAGTCATCAGTCATTTTCACTGTTTAACTAGAATAATGTATCTTTCTATTGTTTAAGACACTGTCTACTAATCATCTCAAAAAGACATACCCCAACCAGCCTCTCCTCAGTAGAAATAGCAAGTGATCATTGCAACCTACTAAAGGAGGAGGAAATCTCACGATGCATGCATTTTAGAGAAAGTGGAATTGATATGCCCAATGATGAATCAATGACTTTGCCAGGGAAAATAGGATATCCTGACTGGCCATTTGCCATTCCTTATTAATTCCTTATTAATGTATCTAATTCAGAGAGGGTATTAAGAGGCAATTCATTGAAGCAGCAGGAAATGGGTTCCCTAAAATAAAGAGGTATTTGTATACAATAAGAAGAGAAAAAAGAAATGAAATAGTTCTGGACACTATATCAACTAGTCTGTCACAAAGCATAAAGGAAAATTTTTTAATGAGATTTGGTAAAAGTTCCTCATTATCTATAAATTTGTTATTGCAGCCAAATGGTTAATTTTAAAATGAATTAAGCATAAACATTTTATTAAGTATAAAATATGCAATGATCAGATTCTGTGTCTTCATCTAAATAATTTGGGGTTTGTACACTTGGCTATCTTTTATTTTCCTAGTTGCAACTGATTAATACCCCCATTTAATAGTTAATGTTGATACTCTTCAAACCATTCCAGATGCCATGTAGCTTTTCTTTACTGGGCAAACCTAAAATATAAATTTGTGGTCTTTTTCCTCCCTCCACTTATGATGACAATGATAATAACATTTATTGAACATTTACTATGTACTAGGCACTGTTTTCAGTACTGTATGTGTTTTTTAATTGCAGTGTCAATTACAGTGTTATATTAGTTTTAAGTGTACAATGTAGTGATTCAACAAGTCTACACATTACTCAGTGTTTTTCATGATAAATGTACTCTCAATCCTCTTTATTTCTTTTACCCATCCCCTCTCCTATCTCTTCTTTTTTAAATTTTTTTTAGCATGTATTTATTTTTGACAGAGACAGCATGAGTGGGGGAGGGGCAGAGAGAAAGGAAGACAACAAAATCCGAAGCAGGCTCTGGGCTCTGAGCTGTCAGCACAGAGCCCAATGCAGGGCTTGAACTCACGGACCGTGAGATGATGACCTGGGCTGAAGCTGGACGCTTAACTGACTGAGCCACCTAAGTGCCCCTCTCCTACCTCTTCTATGGCAACCATCAGTTTGTTCTCCAAAATTAAGAGTCTGGGTGTTTTTTGTTTGTCTTTTTTTCCCCTTTGTTTGCTCATTTGCTTTGTTTCTTCAATTCCAGATATGAGTGAATCATATAGTATTTGCTTTTCTATGACTGACTTATTTGACTTAGTATTATACCCTCTAGATCCATCCATGTTATTGCAAATGGCAGGATTCCACTCCTTTTTATGGTTGAGTAATATTCCATTGTGTGTATGTGTGTATGTGTGTGTGTTGGTGTGTGTGTGTGTGTGTATATATATATATATATATATATGTAGTGGATAAGAGGAAGTGGTATACCACTTCCTCTTATCCATTCATCTATGGATGGATAGTTGCATTGCTTCCATATTTAGCTATTGTAAATAATACTCCAATAAATATAGGAGTGTATGTATCTTTTTAAATTAGTGTTTCCATTTGGGGCGGGTAAATAATCCAGTAGTGGAATTACAGAATCATAGGGTAATTCTATTTTAAATTTTTTAAGGAAACGCCCTACTATTTTCCACTGTAGGGCACCAATTTGCATTCCCACCAACAGTGCAAGGAGGTTCATTTTTCTTCACATCTTGTCAACACTTGTTATTTCTTTTTTTTTTTTCTTTAAGTCTATTTTAGCTATTCTGACAGATATAAGGTGATGTCTCATTGTGGTTTTGATTTGCATTCCCTGATGATCAGTGATGTTGACATTTTTTTCATGTTTCTATTGATCATTTGCATGTTTTCTTTGGAAAAATGTCTATTCATGTCCTCTGCCCATTTTTTAATCTAATTATTTGTGTCTTTGGTATTGAATTGTATAAATTCTTTATACATTTTGGATATTAACCCCTTGTCAGGTAAAACGTTTGCAAATATCTTCTCCCATTTAGTAGGTTGCCTTTTTTTGAGAGCATCGTTTTAAATGTTTGTTTATTTATTTATTTATTTTGGAAGAGAGAGAGAGAGAGAGA